GATTGAGGTGGGGGGAGTGCAGCTGGGGTAGGAGGGAGACGGGGGGGGGCAGGAAAGCCCCAGGGTAGGATGACACCTGGGGTTGGGGACAGGAGTGCAGCTGGGGTAGGAGGGGACTGAGCTGAGAGATGGCAGGTGAACTGCTCCATGTCCCCCTCCCCTAAATCTCCCAGACATGAAAGAAGAGGGAGAAATCACCCTCTTTCTGGAGGCTGCGGTGTGTTGATGGGGAGCTTCTCCCTTCCACCCCGGCCCCACCCCACCTGGACCCACAATGGAGTGTGGAGGGGAGAGACTCTGAGTAGGTTGGGGGAAGAGTATGTGGCAGGGTCCCCCCTATTTAGTCTGTAATTGAAATGGAGTGTATGGGGAAAATATAGTTTGGTTCCCCCTCCCTCATTCTAACACTAGAATGAGGGGGGATATAGTGTGTTCTCTCCTCTCTGTAACTGCAATGGGGGAAGGTGTGTGGTGGGTGTCTTCCGTATCTTATTGAAATGGGAGGGGATGTAGTGGGGCTTTCCACTTAATTTGTAACAGAAATGGAGTAGGAGAAAATTGCCTTGTGGTTTCTGTACCCCTGACTGTAATTAAAGTGGACTGTTGGGAGTGCCCTCCCCCCACATTCTTCCTGTATCAGAAGTGGCTGTGGGGAGGGAGTCTGAAGTTGTGGTGATGTTCCCCAATAGTTGTACTTGAAGGAGTATATGTATAAAGGGGGAAATACAGTTTTAGTCCTCTGTCAGGAATCCGAGTAGACTGATAGGGAGTGAGGAATACTTTGTGTTTCTTCCCTGGTAACTGGATTGGTGAGGCTAAGTCTCATACTGAAAATACTTCCTTTGCATTCCTCTTTGTGTTTGTGCTCCAGGAACACATCCATCTGTGCAGTCTTCCCATTCCTTAAATATGCTTGCTCTTGATCTCTCTGGCACTGTTAATTGTGAAACTTATTTTTTAATATGACTTTTATGCTTAAAGAGTTGGTACCCGTCATCTAAGATGTATGTAATAATATTCTTACTAAGACTTGATACAAGGGACAAATTGCATGTGGTTATAGTTAGTCTTTTGAAGTCCACAACTAACTGGCCAACTTGCTATTTCCAGATCCTCTGGCCTACAGTTTCTCTAACGTCTCAAGATAGGTGGGTTGGTGCCTCCTGATGCAATCACTAAAATAGATGAATGTGTGTGCAAGTATATTTTGTATGTTTCATACGTCTGATGAACAAAAAAAGCTAGTGTGGTCAGAAATATTGCCTCCAGGAAATGGAAAATTGTACTTATTCTTGTCTATACCAAAGTAAGGATGTTAAGGACTAGTTGACTCCCCCCTTCCTCCTTTTGCTGCCTTGGCATTTCAAAGGGGATCAACTGTGCACGCTACCCCATTGAAATGTGGAAGCAGCATTGCAGGGGGCAGTGCCATGGAGCCCGGGGTCAGCTGGGGTTTCCCCTGCCCTTTGGAAACGCCAGGGCGGTGTTTCAAAGAGGCAGCTGCCACACAGCAGATCCCCAGCTCAGCTGTGTGGCACTGCCCCTTTAAAACGCCATCTCGGCGTTTCAAAGGGGCAGCGCTGTGGAGCCTGGAGTCAGCTTGGGACTCCCCAGATGATCCTGGGCTCCACGTGACATTTCAGCTGACCCCAGGTTCTAGGGAAATGCCACTCAGAACCTGGGATCAGCCGTGGAGTCCCCCACTGACCCTGGGCTCCATGAGGGCACTGTGGCTTTAAAACGCACAAGAGCCCTCGCTGGGGACTCTTGTACATTTCAAAGCTGGCTCCCAAGGCTGCATGTGGAATTCCACATTAATAATGGAGATTGCCTATCTCCTAGAACTGGAAGGGACCTTGCAAGGTCATTGAGTCCAGTCCCCTGCCTTCACAGCAGGACCAAGTACCATCCCTGATGAATTTTTTGCCCCAAATCCCTAAATGGCCTCCGCAAGGATTGAACTCACAACCCTGGGTTTAGTAGGCCAGTGCTCAAACCACTGAGCTATCCCTCCCCCATTCGGGAGCTCTTGTAGGATTCAGAGGAGGAATGCGGGAGTAGTCAATGGAAATTCCATCGTCAACTTCACTAGTCAGTTAACTGCAATTTAACATCCTTATACCAAAGCATAAATCAGCTACTTCTAACTCTTGATTCTAGTTTAAAACTATTAGAATTCACAGTTGGGGTACAGGGACATATTTGGCTTTTCATATTGCAGTCCTTACGTTTTCTGCATTTTAGTTTTACTTAAGCGTTTTTCTTTTAAAGGTATGGATAGTTCAGGTTATAAATTCTGAATCTGTTAGCTCTAGCTTTAGTGTCAGTTTAACTACAGTTCTGGCCTTGCAAATAGTTTCTCTCAGTTTTATATAACTGTCTAGCGACATAAGATCTATGTAAAAACCCTACTTGTGCTATGGATTGTTGTTGTTGTTGTTGTTGTGTAGTTGGTTAATTCATTGTAGGAGATCATACTGATGTGGGCCCCTTCAAAACAAGGGGCCTGGACGGTCGCCCTGAATCATCCTACAGACGGGACAGTTCTGTATAAGAGAATGAAGTCATGTTGGGAGACCTTGACTAGAGGGAATCCAGTGCCTCTGTGTCTATGCATCAGTGCTTGAAGTAGTTCCCTGCTGCTGTTGCCTTGGTTCCCAGGCTTACTGAGGCAACAGCACTATGGTGTCATTTGATATGCTGATGCCTCAGAGCAGAGGCTTTTGCACAGTCTGATGCTGCTTAGAGTGCTAGGTAGCAGAAGCGGTAGTACTAGGGCAGCCAATCCTCTACTGTCTCCACTTGTTTCTCTTCTAAAACTCTGTTGCCAAGGGCCCTTTCTATGTCTACTCTTTTATATTCCAGCTCATCTGCTCGGTGTGGCTAAAGGTTCTTCCAGGGAATAGGCATGAGCGCGACTGTTGAGTCACAGGCCAGCTTAATCTTAAAACATAAGTAGCTGATTTGAGCAGTCCTGCAACATAATTCAATTAGATTATCTTGAATAAAGAATAACTATTTTTCTTTCAAAATTAGTCTGCTTGAGATTTATCACTGTATGTATTGAATTGCTTAGAGAAATAAAATCCAAAACTTAAAAATTGATCAATTTAAATGTTTCATCTGTGAACACTTGTAAATATTCTGCTAAAAATAACTACATAGAAAACTCAGTTGCTCTCTGAAGAATTACGGTTCCAAATTTGTAAATTCAGTTGCAGGTGGGAACTCTGCCTTTGTGAGTAACAATGGCAGAGTCCATTGAACTATTTTTCCATTGACCTAACTGACTCAACCAGAGTTTAGGTCATCAGCATGGCTGTGCTCTCAGAGGTGTGGATTTTTTTACACGTCTGAGTGCTGTAGCTGGCTTGTTGCAAGTTTTAATATAGACTAGGCCTTAATGTGTCTGTAATTATTTAGGATTCATCACATAGAAACACTGGCACTTATACTTTGCTTCCTTCCCTGTTGAAAGAGCAGGCTATTTTTGGAACATTAGCCCTTTTGGTCTTGTAGAGAATAATTTATTTGTGTTCTGCTAATATTGTTGTATATTAATGAACTAAAGTTTTAATTTTGAAGTTAACTGAACTATATTGGGTTTACTGGTTTGTTTGTTTGTTTGTTTTTTAGGCTGTTTCATAAAAGAAGTACAGCTCAGCTCTGTTTCACTAGGATGGATTCTATCCTGTGGGAATGTGGTTAATCAACTTGACACATTCACCTAATACAATGTATATAATGTGAAAAGAAGAGATGTGCCATCTGTATCTGAAGTCTTCTGATGGACTGAGTGAATAAGACTCTGTCAGCACAAATTTTATTTCAATTTTTGAAGAATCTTAACAAACAAGCAGCAAAAATATTGGTATTAAAGCTAAACCTTCAGTACATGTGTATATGAAAGTTTACATTGAGTAATCTGACAGGTCTCAGTAACTGGCTCCCATTCACATGTTCAAGGATGGCAACTAGCTTGATCTGCACTCTTTTGTTCTTGGATGTTTTGGTGGGGCATTCAAGTGGACACAGTCTGTTTTCTTGTGAGCCCATCATCTTGAGGATGTGTCAAGACCTGCCTTACAATACCACTTTTATGCCTAATCTTTTGAATCATTATGACCAGCAAACAGCAGCATTAGCAATGGAGGTAAGAATTAGTCTTTCTTTCAAAAATATGTTTGTTTGTAGGCCTTTAATTGATCATGCGATTATTTTGTAGTTGGAATTGATGAGAAGGAGAGTTATATAAAATATGTATTTGTTTCAGTATTCTGCCTGTTGTCTTATTATTTTGAAAAGTGTAAAGTGTCCACATTCCGTTTGCATTACAAATATTCCATAAAATGTACTTATAAGAATTACTACAAATATGTAACCACATTCATGCATACATGAACAATAATTACATCTCTTTGCATTCAAAAGTACTCAAGGGTTCAAGCTTTACATATTTTTGGCCTATTGAGAGTGCATATTTGAAATGTCATCAAAAGGTAGTTTTAAGCACTTTTCAATAAACTACTTTTATACAGTAATGCTAAACAACCAGTGGAGGACATAGTTACAAAAATAAATTCTTCTGACGTTCTGTGGTTGGATGGAAGAATATGTTTGCATCCTTAGTTAGTACAGGTTGTGTTGTCCATTGTTCTGTTGAATAAATTCACAAACTAGTCGTGTAGCTAGTCGTGGACCCAGCTAGTCGTGTAGTTATGTTGCTTTCTCAGGTTACAATAATATTTGTTTGGCAAATCATTCCTTTTGATCTTCTTCTGTTCGGTATCCCAGCAGACAGATTGGTAAACTTAAACATTTTTTGATATTGTAAAGGTACCTTACTATTCTTTACCTATAGAATAACCCAGCTAGTCTTGTCTAGATTTATCTGCCTTGATTGCCTCTCCCCCAGCTTTTTGTAGGACTGCAGTACCTCATGCAGTATATTC